ATCATGAGTGTGTTATAGACGCTTGAGCTCATTCCAGTGGGCAGCTGACAGAGAAATCATGCAGATTGGACCTCAGACCGGTCCTACTGGGGTCAAGAGGGTCACTAACCCCCAGGCCTCCCTCAATACACCTAGTGACCAGAGCATCTATCTCCTACCTGAGTGGGGGCCAACAGTCTCCAGAAGCCTGTGATGCCCGTATGCTCGAGCTGCCCCTGGCTGATGTCTGAAGTGGGCCCAGATGGGTGGGACCTCCAGCGTCTGAGCAGAGGGACCCAAGGCAGCTGAACTGATGCTGATCTCCATTCCTGACACCGTAGCCCTCTGGGCCCAGTGCTCCAGCACTGCTTAGGGTGTGCATGCTAATTACAGCAACCTACTCTCCACTAGCACACATCTGATTCTAGCAACACGTAGCACTTTCTTCTAGGGCAGCTTCCTTTCTCCCACTTTGGGGCTAGTTTTCATATGTATTTTACCTTTATGTTTTAACTTCAACAATGCAGTTATATGATTATAATTATTATTTCATGTCATCTTGCCAGTATGTTAGGAGTAAAATTATTTATATCATTTTGATATTTACCTTTACCTATCTTCATTTAAAAAAAAGATTTATTTATTTATTTATTTGAAAGGCAGAGTTATAGAGAGGCAGAAGCAGAGAGAGAGAAAGGTCTTCCATCTGCTGGTTCACTCCTCAAATGGCTGCAATGGCTGGAACTGGGCCAATCTGAAGCCAGGAGCCAGGAGCTTTCTCCAGGTCTCCCATGCAGGTGCAGGGGCCATCCTCCACTGATTTCCTGGGCCATAGCAGAGAGCCGGATCAGAAGTGAATATCTGGGACTCGAACCCATATTGGATGCCAGCACTGTGGGCGGCGGCCAGCCCCCTGTCTTCTTCATGCGGTTATTGTTTCTAGCCTTTGCCTAAATTCCTGCTGAACTATGGTCTTCTTACTTTTTACTTGTTGAACTCTTTATTTAGTGGAGCAGTGAGTCTTCTTTTTTCTTAACATTGATTCTAATTACTGCTTAATGTCTATTCATTGGGGGTTTCAAGGACTTCTAGTATTTCTGGAAATGCAGGACTGGTAGCAACAAGCTCAGTCTATTTTCCTTTCATTATGGCAGGATTGCTTTGCTAGACAGAGAATTGTAGATCATGGTATTTCAGATATTACAACAGGAAATTCTTCACTAAAATAAGACAGGAATGTACAAGTTGTCCCAAATTCGGTGCAGCTTTCTGCAGGTCTACCTGCCTGGCCCGGAGTGGCAGGCGTCCTGGGAGGAACCTCCTTGGCACCCATCAGCTACTCATCATTGGCTGTGCTCCCCATCACACGCTGAGAGCCGCCAGTGTCTGGGCCAGACACAGACAAGACCCTGCGCCTGCCTTCCACGGAGCACCTTCCTGCCATATAAACCAGTGACTCGGAAATGTGTAATTCAGTCATTTAGGTCTGGCATCACTTAGTCCCTAACTGAGTTCCCTTCAGTTTGTCCCCTTACTTTTGTACCAAGGTCCCCAAACTCTGGCCTTTGCCTTTGTTCTGGTCCTTTCTCCTTGGTTAAGATTGTGGAGTCTTGGCACAAAATTCCTGCTGCTCAGTACATCTAACATATCCGGGGAAGAGTTGGTGATACAGGGGCATCTCCAGGAACTGTATGAAATATTCCCGTAGATGAAGTCTGAGAGGAGGCCTGCTCTTTGGTAGTCCCTGCCTGTTGCTAACTTGACTCTTCCTTCTTCTTCTTCTTCTTCTTCTTCTTCTTTTCTTCTTTTTTTTTTTTTTTTTTTTTTTTTTTTTTTTTTTTTTGCCAGGCAGAGTTAGACAGTGAGAGAGGGAGACAGAGAGAAAGGTCTTCCTTATGTTGGTTCACCCCTCAAATGGCTGCTATGGCCGGTGCGCTGTGCCGATTTGAAGCCAGGAGCCAGGTGCTTTTCCTGGTCTCCCATGTGGGTGCAGGGCCCAAGGACCTGGGCCATCCTCCACTGCACTCCCGGGCCACAGACTGGAAGAGGAGCAACCGGGCGGGACAGAATCCGGCGCCCCAAATGGGACTAGAACCCGGGGTACCAGCGCCAAAGGCAGAGGATTAGCCTAGTGAGCCGAGGCGCTAGCCGACTCTTCCTTCTTCTAATCAAACCAAATTGTACGTGTGTGTGTGTGTGTGTGTGTGTACGCACCCATATGATCTCTCTCTGTGATATTTGGTGAAAAAATTCCCTCTACCTCTTTAACTAACAAGCCATGACCTTGGTGCTGGATTTGATCCCTTCACTTCCGCTATTGTCTGGGTGATCTTCTACTTTTTGTAGAATCCGTCCTATTCAGTTTCATGTGATCTACTTCAAAACCAGAGGGAATTTGGTGGGAGATGGTGTTATGCTTTCGCCGGCAAAGGAGAATCAATGCTGGGAAGAATGGACATTAACAGAGGGCACACAGCAAGTCCAAGACAGGTGTACAGACCCTGTCCTCGATCCCTCCCAGTGAATGAGTTCACATGCATCGTGAAGGCTGGGGACAGGTGCCTTGGGTCAGCTGGGGTGGCACACGGTGATCTACTCAGGAGTTACTTCCTGCATCAAAGTAAATCAAGTATTAAGATTCTGTAATACACCCAACATGAAGCTCCCGCAAAGAACTTAAAGACATGCCACTACCAAAACAAGCCATCATTAAGTTCTATGTCTTTGTGCTTTATTGCCTTGCTATTCTGTCCTGAACCCTCAACCTGGTAGCAAGAGGCCAGATAATGGAGTTTTCAGCAAGTGACCACTGATTCTCAACTCAAACACCGAAGGCAGGGAGGGTGAAGGGTATTGTGCCTTGGTTGTGGTCCCTGCCCAGAGGATATCAATATCATTTCATTAAGATGTGAATTTGTGTCTCTTTGTTCAAATAAGGACATTGATGTGGGCATGACAGAGGAGAGAGAGAGAGAGAGAGAGAGAGAATGACATGACCTGTTTGAGGTCCCATAGGTAAAAGGGACAGAGATGAAACCAGATACCAGCATTCCTATCTCCCTGAATCTAGTACTCTCTCTTCTTTAACATTATCTAGATGGCCCAGGGTCCCAGATTAAGGGGGAAGCAATAGTTCTGTGTCCTCCTGTGCCTGAGGGCTTTTTAAATGGTCTTACATTCTGTCTCAGGATGATCAAAGAACTCACTGAGAACTCTGTATGTGAGACATAGCCAGCCTGGGCATGGTGGTGTTTTTCTTCTCTGGGATGATTTGGTACACTGAGAGGTGCAAAGCAGATTGGAGATTCCCATGATTCTGCACGTACCTGAGGGCAAGTAAGGGACTTAAAAAACAGACTGAGGGCTAAAAATGAACAAAACTGGAAAACTTGGATCAAGAATGGTAGTTCTTGAGTACAAAGGAATAGCCTCGTAGAACCCATTGCTTTGGGCTTGTGTTCCGGTCACTGTGCACCAGTCTTCCCCTCGTCTATGTAAGTGGCAGGTGCCAGAAATGCACAGGCCCATTGCGATCCGGCCCATTAACCCAGCCAGCTCACCCCTTCCATCTCCATCTGTAGGGCCAACAGGGCACCTGCGCTGCACATCTGCCTTGCCATGTGTTGCTGTCTTCAGAGCATCAGAACTCTCTGAGCCTGAGCCCCGGGCCTGGATTCCCTGCCACGGCCAGCGGGCTTTCCTGTGCTCAGACTGAGTGGTTTGCAGGATTTCTGGACGCCTACCGTGCTTAAAGATGGTTCTCCCACAGCCTGAGCCTTACCTGTTGAGCTGTCTCCTTTGATATAAATATTGCTCAGTGGTAAATGAAGTCCAACTTCTTAACTTGGCAACTTTCCTCCATCAAGCCGCGCTGGGTCAAGCTGGAAGGGGCACTGTTCTGAACTGAGAGGTCTGGGGGGCAGGTATAGGCATCTAAGAAGCCCCAGGTCTCCGGTCTTCTACTTCTGTAGGGTTCTCTCTTCTCTTTTGCTCCTTATTCTCCTGATCTTACTGTCACCCCTCCTTAGATCTAAAACCAATTCAATTAAAACTCTGTGCATCTCAGTGGTTCACATGCCTAAAACTTGTATTTTTCCAACTTCTAAATTTCACCTTTGTTAGGGGAACAATGAATTTTCTTTTTTTTTTTTAAAGACTTATTTATTTATTGGAGGGGCAGAGAGATGGAGAGCAAGGTCTTCCATCTGCTGGTTCATTCCCCGAAATGGTCACAATGCCTGGAGCTGGGTCAGACTGAAGCCAGAAGTTAGAAGCTTCTTTCAGGTCTCCCACGTGGGTGCAGGGCCCAAGCACTTGGACCATCTTCCACTGCTTTCTGAGGTGCATTAGCAGGAAGCTGACTTGGAAGTGGAACAACTGGACTCCAACGGCACTCCTATGGGAGGCTGGCACTGCAGGTGGAGGTTTAACATACTACACCACAGTGTCAGCCCTAACAATGAGTTTTCAATGCCCCCTTTGGAAAAGTATGCACCTTTTAAGCATGACCTGGAGCATTGCATTTGCATTTTCCTATATTTGTTTTTTAACTCTTGTTTTTAAACATGCTTCATTAATAATAAATGTATATAGTTAGGGGCTACAGTGTGCTTTTGAGCAGAGAAATTTGTGTGAATTCATTCAGAGCAGCATTTACAGCAGAATTTTCTTTCTTCCTTTATTTTTTTTTGTAAGATTTATTTATTTATTTGAAAGGCAGAGTTACAGAGAGGCAGAGGTAGAGGTAGAGGTAGAGGTACAGGTAGAGAGAGAGAGAGAGAGAGAGAGATCTTCCATCTGCTGGTTCACTCCCCAGATGGCCGCAGCGGCCGGGGCTGTGCCAATCTGAAGCCAGGAGCCAGGAGCTTCTTCCAGGTCTCCCACGCAGGTGCAGGGGCCCAAGGACTTGAACCATCTTCTGCTGCTTTCCCAGGCCACAGCAGAGAGCTGGATGGGAAGTGGAGCAGCCAGGACTTGAACCTGCGCCCATATGGGATGCCGGCACACAGGTGGCAGCTTTACCCACTACACCACAGCGCCAGCCCCAAGCAGAACTTTCTTTGATGACAGAGATTTTCTGTCTCAACTGTCCAATATGATAGCCCCTAGATTCCTGTGGCTGTAGAATTCTTGAGATGACCAGATACTGAATTTGTAATTTGATTGAATGAACATAAACAGCCGCTTACAGCTGGGATTATGCATTGCTCAACAGAGACTTCCAGGGAGATGGGAACTCACCTCCCCATCACCGTGTAACTCACAGGAGCAGAATTCTATCCTTCTGGTTGACTTTTTAGTTTCTTTCCTGTTTGGTTTCAGGAAGGTAAGGCAGCAGGTAGAGGGAGACGGGGTAAACGGGAGAGGGTGGGGATGCTGGAAGTAAATGAAGGCTCCTCTTGCCATGCCCCAGGACTCCCCACCCTCGGCCGCCACGTGTCAGCAGGCTCTGGGAGTTACGCAACTGGCACAGGTTGCACAGCTGAGAGTTGGTGGGAACAGGATTCTAGTCCAGGCCTCTGTGATCTGGCATCAGGGGCTTTCTTCTGTGAGATACTGGGCAGCCGGCAGCGTAGCACAGAAACCACCTCTGTGCTGCCAGGGTTGAACAGGGACTGTGGGATATGCACCTGACGTCCAGTGGGTGGGGGTGTAACCCAACCCTTAGTGAGAAAACACGCCGGGATTATTCAAAGCCTGAAACAGACAACGGTGCCCAAAAATCTTTTATGAATTCATGCTATAAAAATAATAATCCACGTGTCAAAGCTTTAGGTTCATCAGGACATTACTCTAACAAGAAGAAATTGGAAATATCTGCGTCCTCATGACGTGGGGAGTGATCACAAGGGCATGATTGGATTGCTGGTCTGACCTGTGTCGTGACGTCACTTTTTTCTCTCTTGTATGCATACTTTTATTCAGAATGATTTGTTGTTTCTTTAGTTTGGGAAAACTTAGATAGGTCCCCACAAATCTGATGTGACTCTTCAAGCACGAAACATCTTCTCAACTTAATAATTAAAGTGTGCAGGCCCATGCAGGTAGCCACGCCGGGGCACACTGTTCCCAACTGTGGAGGGCCTCCTCGCTCAGAAGCTGGGTTACAGAGCACCTCCACCTGGTGAAGGCAAGTTTCTGTCTCCTGGGAAGTGGCGGGAGGAAGCACCAGGGGATGCCACCCTCAGCTGGCCTGGTGCTTCTGGTCCTGACTCCTCGGTGGGGGATTCCAAGGGCTCATTGGAGGCAAGAAAATCTAAGCCATTGACAATTTGTATTTCCCCCCATTTTTTGCAGTTCCCTTCTCTGCACTATAAATACTATTGAAAATGAAGGAGTATGTAACATGAGATGAGAAGAAGCCTGGGGAAGTCAGTGGCTAGCTTGGGAGCCGACTTGTTATTGGGAACCAGAGGGTAAAAAGGAAAATTAGAATAAAGAGTAACATAGTATTCACCAGAACTTCCCCTCTCTTGCCAAGCCTGTTCTCGATCCCTCTCCTACCTCCGGCAGCACTGGGGGAAGACCTGCGTCTGCCGGAATTTAAGCCGAGCGCGCACAGAGACGACCATGGTGCTCTGGATTCTCCTACTGATCATTCTCACTCACGAGGTGATGGTGCTTCTGCCCATGCTGGGAGGCCACGAGACCAAAAGTAACGTTGGTAGGTGGTGTGGCGAGGGACAGGTGTGGTCTGCCGGGTCCCGGGACATCTGTGAGAGCTGATTCCGGGCCCAGACTTCCAGGATCTTCCTTTAAGGAATCGGAGTCCTCCCTAAGTGGAGACAGCCAAGCAAGATCATGTTGGATGCTCCCAATCTGCTCTCTCGTCAAACTCCCTGTCCCAGCTCTGGAAGCAATGCTGGGCCGATGGGAAGAGAAGATAGCGGTGTCAACATTATGTGGGTTATCAGCTTGTTATTTTCCAATGTCAGAGCGGCGTGGGTAGGGGAGATACCGGCACAGATCTTCCTGCTGAGCGCACAATCTCTGTGCGTCATTGGGGCGAGCCTTTGACGACGAGCAGAAGGCACTGGCGAACACATGCATTTAGTTGGAAGGAGAGAATCTTATAGAACATAAAAACCTGAACAGGGCGCTTAGTCCTCAGTAGGTCAAAATTTGGGGTCATATAATGAGCAAATGGGTTGGGCTGGGGAAAGATGTGGGATTTACCAAGAGCCGAGTGCTTGGGTGGTGTCAACAGGGAGCAACGGCAGGTGCCCATTTTCCCTTTGCTCCGTGGTGTGGGATTTGGAGCCAGGCCTTGCAACCTGAACATTTGTGAGAATGAAGCGGGGGCCGTGGGCGCCCCAGGTCCCATCTCCGGCACCCAGAGTCCTGTCGCAGAACACACGCCCTACAGGGACCGTCTCGTGTAAAGAGATGTTGGTTAGAATCTGAGGAAGGGATTTTATTGGGAGACAGAGAAATATTTTGTTATTTAGGGCTCTTGGGCCAGAACAGGGTTTCTTTTTCGGGTTGTCTGTGGACGGGTCCTGGCAGCGCTGTCATCTCGGTTTCAGATGACATAGAGATCGAACAGTGCTGGGTGCAGCCTCCGGAGAAGTACTGCAGGCAGAGGTGCACGAAGGAGCACAGCTGCCCACGCCTGAACCACACGTGCTGCTGGACGTTCTGTGGGAACATCTGCTTGGACAACGAGTGAGCTGACGGGCGGGGCGGGGGCTGAGGGCCTGAGCTTGCGCCTCTCCCACTGTTCAGACCTGAAACAGAAGCCTGCAGGCACCCACTTCGGATAAAAGAATCAGGCAGAATCAGGCAACAGCCTCCTATCCCTGAACCTGGGCCGCCACTCATTGCCAAATAAACCAAGACGCTAATATGGCCGCTCTTGCTTTTCCCTTCATGTTCATCCCGTTCTCTTTGCTTTCCTTAAAGCACCACCTATCAGTCTGTATTATCCCTCCCCTTTCTGAGATCCTAATTGCTGCCTTAGTTGGGCCTCTCCGCTGGCCCTGTTTTCTTAGGCCCCATCCTGGTTCCCACCTGTCTGCTCCACCAGCAAACATCTTGGGAGAAATTGCTTAAAACTAGGTAACTCCTGATTTAGCAGAAATAGTTTCTGTGCTCCTTATCTGGAGCCTCTTGCGCTATTAAGATTGGAACTAGATTTCTCCGAGGGCCCCTGACTTTAACTATCTAATTTTTCTTTTCCAGGGAGCCTTTTAGAACAATGTTGAGACCCTCAGGGCAGGCTGGAGAATGACTGTCGGTCTTAGAAGAGCGCCCCCTGGCTTCCGGTTGGGACACTCCTTTCTCTAGAGGACCTCTGATCCCTCCTTGACCTCTTCACCCTGAGCAGGTTCAAGGTTCTGCTAAATAAATTGATGCATCATCCTGATGGCTCTGCATTTTTCGTACTGCATACCTGTGACCTAATTTCTCTCATTACAATCCCCAACAACCCCAGTCATTGTTCCTATACGTAGGTGGGCACGGGCATCCAATTCTGCCTTTCCAGTTAGACCTAAGCATTAGCCAGGCTGGTTAATCGTTATAGCAAGATTATAGAGATATTTAAAAATTCCATTGCGTTAACACAGCACGGGTCTATTTTCATTCACAATACATTTCACCAAGGGTGGTCAGTAGCCAAACCTCCTTGCCATGATTCAAGGACCCTGCCTCCTTCCATCTGTAGCTCTGTCACCTCCCAGGGTCTCCTCGATTGGTTCCTATCCATCTAGCCAGTAGGTGGGAGAAAAAAGGCTTACGGATACTCACACAGAAGGATTTTAGTGGGTGAGTCTACGAATAGAGTTCATCATTTTCAGTCTACACTTCATGGGCCATAATGTAGTCATACAGTCCCGTCATCTTACAAATGAAGCTAGGAACCATAGTCTAGCTGTATTCCCAAGAACAGAAAATGGGATTTGGTGAACTCATGGCATCTACTCATGCAAAGCTAAACTTCTCAACAAAGACCTAAGACCCTGCCTTCCATACTGCTCTGTTCAATGGAATAGGCACCTTGCCTACACACTCCTCCCCATGCCCCCTACCACAACACACCAGCAAGAAGCAGGTGCACCTTGTCATTAGAGAAAGCATTTATGTCTTCCAGGTGGGTACTGGAAGCTTCCAGAATGAACTGCTTTTACCATCCCTGGTATATTTTATTCTTGTGAGACCAGCTGCCTGGTAATTTTATCTGGGTAATGTTGCTTATATTCTGAGATTTCAGATAATGCAAGGTAGGGCTGTCCTGCCATATTTTTCCATAAATCGCACCTAAATTTCCACCATTTGTCACTGAAGATTCTATTTCAAGTGTAACTCTTCCTGTATGAGGATATTACAGAGTGCCCACTGTGCATCCAGTCTTGTGACCCTCCCTTCAGGCCAGAAGACAAGATGTTGTCACTTAGATGCATGGGTCAGAATGTCATTTGGGAATGTGATATAGCAGAGATCAAGGCCAGCCAAGGGACTGGAGCCCAATAGGAGACCAGTTAATGCCGTACAGCCCAGAGGAGTGAAAAGAAAAATGGCTCAGGGGCTCTGGGGCTCAGGTAAACACCCTTCAGGAGTGGGGCTATGTCTTGACCTTGAGGGGTAGAGAAGAGTTGGAGCTCCCTAGAATGAAGATGATTTTTTTTCTTATGAAAAATAGAGAGGAACAAAAGGCTACAGACCTCCAGAGGAAGGACTGGGGAAGTCAAGGCTGGGCCTCTGACTTTCATGTCATATTCCTTTCACAATTCATCTGCTGAATGGTAGGGCAAGAATATATTCCTTGCCAATATTAGCAAAAGAGTAATTGGCAGGGCCAGTGCTGTGGCATAGTAGGCTAAGTCTCCATCTGTAGCCCCAGCATTCCATATGCACACCGGCTTGTGTCCTGGCTGCTCCTCTTCTGATCCAGCCCTCTGCTGTGGCCTGGGAAGGCAGTAGAAGATGGCCCAAGTCCTTGGGTCCCTGCACCCATGTGAGAGACCCAGAAGAAGCTCCCGGCCCCTGGTTTCAGACTGGCCCATCTCCTGCCATTGTGACCATTTGGGGAGTGAACCAGTGGATGGAAGACCTCTTTCTCTTTCTCTCTTCTTTGTGTCTGTAACTCTGTCTCTCAAATAAATAAATAAAATCTCTCTCTCTCTAAAAAAAAAAAAAGGGTAATTGGCACAAAGAAGCAGAAGAACATCAAAAGAATCACTAAGACATGGGCACGTGACAGCACTGCTCCTTTGCAGGTCGTGTAGAAACACAGAACAGGGCTACAGATTGTGTGTACTGACTGCATAGACTGAGCCCCCAGCCTTGTTGCATTTCCAAAGAAAGCAGCAGACACGTCAGGGTGATCAGCCCGGAGTGCTTATTCAGGGATCTTCACCATGTGCTCCAGAGAAGGGGGGCGTTCTCTCTAGGCACCTGCTGTAAGCGGGTTAGGGAATGGAGCTCAGGTGACGCTCAAGGATTTGGCTCGGGGCCAGTTTCTTCCCATGTTTTGGGTAACAACATAGATCCCTGGGGCCCTTCGAAGTCCAGGTTTGGGTTCAAGCTTGCCGAGAGACACCTGCAGGTGGCTGAGCCACAGGGCAGTCAAGGCACTCAGTGGTTTTCTGTGAGGGCACAGAAAGGGTGTGGCGGGAACCCGGGGACCCTAAGTCCTGCCGTAGGCTACCGCGCGGTCGAGCACATTATGCTCAGTGCAATGCGCCAGTCACGGCAAGCCAGACTCTGCTTGCGAGAAAAATGTAGTAGGATGGCGACCGCCAAGGGTGTTAGGAAATGCTGAACAAGGAAGTGTTGTCCAATGGGTATAGCACTTCTGTCATGTGAGGTGAAAAATTTCTAGAGATCTGTTCTACACTCATACAAATATACTTATGAATAAACTGTATGGTACATTCAAAATTGTTTAGAGGGGAAATTTATGATTTTTGACAGCTATAAAATATTAGTCATTTTCTCAAAAAAGTTAAAGTAAGGAAATTCAAACCACAGCAAAACAAGAAGTAAAATGAATAGAGTATTCTTTTTTTTTTAAAGATTTGTTTATTTGAGTCAAAATTACAGGGAGAGAGGGAGGGAGGGAGGGGGAGAGAGAGAGAGAGATTTTCCATCTGCAGGTTCACTCTCCAAATGGGTGCAACGGCTGGGGCTGGGCCAGGCTGAAGCCAGGAGCCTGGTAATTCTTCTGGGTCTCCCACATGGGTGCCAGGGCCTAAGCACTTGGTCAGTTCTCTACTGGCTTTCCCAGGCTATTAGCAGAGAGCTAGATCTGAAGTGGAGAAGCCGGGACTGGAACTGGTGCCCACATGGGATGCCTGCACCACAGGCAGAGGCTTAACCTTCTGCATTATAGTGCCAGCCCCAGATTCTCTGCTTTTAAGGGGTAATGATTTCACTGGGCCACCTGACTCTTCAGGACGCTCTCCCTGTCTCAAGGTCCCTGCAGTGCCCTCTGTGAGCAGTTCCTGACCCGGGGGATCAGAGCACGGCCATCTCGAAGGCGGCATCATTATTCCTATGGCAATGTATTTCCCTCTGCTTACACTCAAACCTCACTAACATGATTTGTAAAAAGACCATTTACACACTCAATCAACAGCACAGGAGAGGAAATAGCAAATAAACAATTTCAAGAAAGCAGAAGCTGGAAAGCAATGGCTACTCAGTGGGGATCACACCACGCTGATCCAAAGCCAGGAGCCAGGTGCTTCTCCTGGTCTCCCATGGGGTGCAGGGCCCAAGCACTTGGACCATCCTCCACTGCACTCCCGGGCCACAGCAGAGAGCTGGACTGGAAGAGAGGCAACCTGGACAGAATCCGGCACCTCAACCAGGGCTAGAACCCAGGCTGCCGGCGCCGCAGGCAGAGGATTAGCTTAGTGAGCCGCGACACCAGAAAGGGTTTCTGGGTTTCATGTCGGCATTTGTGTGCCTTTGGACTGGGGAGCGACGAGGACTGGACAATTACCTGATTTAAGCTGATAAACCACCGAGTGTCAGCGGCTGGAGACCTGAGTGTCTCTGCGGTGGGGATGTGGGTAGGACACGTGAGAGATCGTTTTGAGAGCCTGCCAAACAAGCAGCTACACCGTGCTTCTGTGTAGATATAGAAGTAAAGCAGATTTTCACAGTCCTCAAGTCTCTTGGAACTACTCCAGGCTTCCTTCAATATTCAATTTCTTCACGAAATTATTTCCTATATACATTGCACTATGAGAGAGGGAAAGGGAGAGGGCGAGAAGACACAAAGTTGGCCACACGCAAGTTTGCGTGAACTGTTCTTGATCCTTCTATGCACGGGAAGGTAAATCATGAGAGTGCTGTAGGTGCTCAGAAGCTGCAGTGGTCGCCGGAGCATCCTCAGATGCTACTCAGAGTTCTCGACTTCTTCCCATAGCCGTCTCCTTCGCCCCTGAATTCTTTTTAGGTATTTGAGGACATTTGGCACCACCTGCTCTCCCAGCCCGCTGCTCCGTTCCCTCCCGCAGTGGTGTGGTTATCAGTGTAGGTCCACACCTCCGCCCTGCTCCAGGGAATCTCAGTGCATCCCCAGACTCACAGGAGGTTGGTCATTTATTTTCTTGTGCATGGACGCATCAGGCTCAGGGAAGGAAAACATGAATGTGGCCCCGCTCACATCGTTCATGTGTTTATTTCTCCCAGCTTTAAGTCAATAACGCACACAACGTCTGGTCAACCGGAGTCACCAGTGTTTCTGAAGGTAGAAATGAGGATGTGGTCGGCAAGAGGTTGCTTCTGAAAATCTGTTAGACAAGCAGAGTCGTTTTGGCTAGTGAACTTCATTTCTAAGGTTTGATTTCCTTTGTTCTAATTTCCTGGGAGAACCTTTTCCACTTAGTAATGTGGGGAAGTTGGTATCAGTAATTCACAACGCATTTTGACATGAGTATGAAATAAGCTGAAGTGTGACTGTATTCTTACCTGAGTTCACAGACAGCTTAAACGTTTCTGCATGCAGAATTCTTTAGGGGTTTATTTATTTATGAGAGAGAGAGAGAGAGAGAGAGAGAGATCCCCGGTTCATCTCCCAAGTGCCTGCAATAGCCGGGAATGAACCACATCAAGTCTGGGGCTGGGAGCTCAACCCAGGTCTCCCATGTGAGTGGCAGGAACCCAACTAGTTGATTCATCCCCTGCTGCCTCCCAGCGTGTGCTTTAGCGGGAAGCTGGAATTGGGGGTAGAGTGCTCCGACACGGAATGTGGGCGTCCCAAGCAGAGTCCTAACTGCTATGCCGAATGCTCACTCCTAGCGCACTTTTAAAAACTCTAGATTGTGAATGTGGGTAAATATTTCAGAACATAGTCATATGGTGAAAACTGAGACAGCAAGAACTACATGTAATATTG